GACCGGCAATTTAAATGGATTTTACTATATGTTATTTAGTAAAAATCAACATGTTTGAAATTCGGACTGGCTGGGTTATCAGACTTATCCCCGAGACTGCGAATGATATTGCTCATACTGGAACCGCTCGGTTATTGTTTGCCCTCATTTTTAAGGTATGTTACAAAAAAAACCATGCAGTCGGTTAAATGATTTCTGACCACGCACACGCATGGATGCACACACGCACACACGCATTAATGTTGATTTACGAAACTATTAGACTCAAAAACATGAATATGGTGTCAAAATATAATATTTGTTAACAACGAATTGTTTATCACAGATAAAATGACACCATACACACCAAAAATTTTGCTAAAGACAAGTTCTATCATATTCATAAGGACAAAAATCCTATACCAATATAACCAGTAACAATAATTGGACAATATTTCTTTCCAGAACATACTACATCTATAAAGAAAGTAAATCCAAATAGAGCTAGTTGCAAACTTTCATGCTAGCTAGCAGCATTCGTAAGTTTCTAACCATCTAGAAAATTCAAAATAGTCAAACTAAGCCTACAACTTTTAATGTGTTGAACCACGACAGAAATCTAGACCATGAAATTGTGCATTACCTAGATGCACTGGGGGCTACTGCTGCTGATAGCACCACCAAATACTCAATTATAATCATTCGACTTGAGTGTTTGAAGGAGATGTGAAAGCTATTCTACTAATGTCCATGCCATGGAATTTCAAGATGGAGGGGGAGGGGTCACTATCACTGCCCTGTATGATGACATGAGTCAATACTCGCTGATAACAAATTATTAATCACAATATGTATAAGAAGGTGCAGGGACATTACATTTACGAAATTAATAAGGAAACATCATAACTTTATTTGAAAATCGGGGTAAAACTGAAGCAGAAAGATTGAGCAAATTTTAGCAATTGGTAGACGTATTTGGTTATTGGAAAAATGCCACATAATGCTCAGATAATTTTTGCTGGAACTTAAATAAAAAATATTAAACTTACAAGGAAAAAATCAACATGAAAAATATTAATAATGGCCATCAAGTTTAAAAAAAAGCTTGAACTAGCAAATCTATAAAAAAATGATATTGTAAAAGAATGGATTTCATTACGAATGTTCATTAACAAATGAGGTAATACCACTGGGGGTAGAAAGTATAATTTGGGAACTGGAACTACACATAAAACATCACAACACCATGCAAAATAGTTAATGGTATAAACCATGTTGCGATCGCTCTGTGTATACAAGACGTTGTACGTTGACCAGCGACAGCAGAGGCGGTACCAGCAACAGCATTGGTGGTCGAAAAAAAGATCAAAATAAAATAAATAATAATCAAGAGGGCCGATTGCGAACAATTCCTAATCATCATCAACTGCCAACTGCCAACAAGCGGGTAGAAAGACATTCCGTGGGACAGTGGGAAATACCAATATAATCTTCATTAAAAAAAAACCATAGCTCACCATCTACTCACAAACTAGGTATGCAGGCGGGGCTAAAACATATCAACTTTGAACATTTACTGGTAACGAAAGAGAAAAGAAATCCTGTGATAACAAACATTCAGGCACTTTAGCAGCAGCTATAAAGAAAGAATATATTGCTACGGAAAAGAATAGCTGTGTCTCAACTAGCCATACAATCAGCTCACGACACAACACACCATTGCTTGGCAGGTAAATGGAACCAAATTTCGGCTGGGTGGCGAGACAAAGCATTGGAACTTTGCAATTGTGGCGTAATGTAAATGTTTGCCTTTTACACAACATAAATTTCCTTTTCAAAATTGTTCCCACCCACTTTTTCCTTGATAGTAAACATAAAGCGATATAGGTGGAGACACAGCATCGCAGCGTTATAATCACTGGGTATTTTCCCCTTAAAATTGTGCGTACGCCTAACCCCCGCCCCCCGTATCTAAATTGCAGCAGTCGCATAGACCAACGGGTATTTCCGGACGCGGTTAAATCACTAGGTAGCTGCTGTATACACGGGTAGCATTGAAAGGAAGCACCCAGTACGCTGTCGGCACGCGCGCGCACGGGTACAAACCTTGTTCTTGATCCAGTCTGCGAGCGCGGCTGCCTCGCGCACGAGCATGAACGCCTTGCGCGACTCCTCGATCTTGTCCTTGCGCTGACGGCCCATGTCCAGCAGGTGTGCGTACCTGCGGTGCAGATAACGAGATGTGTGATCGTCAGCATCCGGTGCAGCGATACAACAACACAAGATGCGCAGGTGACGAACACCAGGTCACTCGCAAACGCTAATGCAACTTCGGAAGCCTAATAAACAACTGCCCTCGCCAAGACACTAGTGTAGGTGATATCTAACTGGTGGGGAACGAACCTACTGCTACGAGATATATAACCACACCCACCATGGATAATTTTGCTACTAATCAGTCAAGCTCACCGAGGCTGCCCGTACACGCGCACGCCAAAGTGGCGACCTTACGAAACTTCGTTGCTAAGCATTGTTTTTAGAACGTCTCACGGCTACACCGATTCGCTAGCGCTGCACTGTTAATCGCGCCGGGGGGGCGGATCTCGGTCGATAGAAGACAACTCTTGGGGATGGAACCGGCGACGGCAGGCGCGTCTACGTACTGGTCCTCGATCTGCTTCTGGCGCGCAGCGACGGTGTTCTCGCGGTCCTTCAGGCTGTCCTGGCTAGACGACAGGCCCGCGTCGATCTTCTTCACGTAAGCCGCCGGCACAAAGCCCTGACGGTCGTTGACTTCCACCTTCCACCAGTCCTGCAGCAAGCGGTCAACATTAGTGAGTGTGTCGGTCATATGGTAGGCGACATAGGTATACCGACAACAACTACAGGTCACTGATGGTCATTCTCGCTTACCCTCGCTTGTCTGTCTGCCTGTCTGTCTGTCTGCCTGTCTGCCTGTATGGCTGCCTGTCTCTCTCTCTCTCACTCACTTTCTCTCTTTCTCTCACTCTCGCACTCTCTCTGTTTCTGTCTCTGTCTCTCTCTCTATATAACTCTATGATGTACACACACACACACACACGACCTCAAATGTTGATTAAAGGCCGAGAAAGAAGAGCTGCGACTACCGAGGTACCCAACATCCCCCCCCCCACACACAGCCTTACCTTGTTATTGTTTGTTATACCAATACATTATAATGACTAAACACCCGCCACGTCTACACACGTGTGTGACTCGGCCATACCCAGTGCCTGAAATGAGAGCCAGCCATAGGCCGGCCCAAAAGGTTTTTTGAGGCGAGTAAACATTTTGAGTCACTGGCCCAAATGGAGTGTTGGAGACCAAAATTTTACTCGTAACAGATCGTAACTTCCGTAGACTGGTTTTCGGCGCTAGACCGGTACCCACTCGCGGTTGCTATGCTAGATGTCAGTGTAGCGGGAGAGTCCAAGAGTACCAGTCTACCCCGCCGTCAGCAAGCTCGGTCGGAACGAAAATGCGCGAGTGTGGTCCGATTGTATCCTACCGTGGACTGCGGTTTAGGATTATGATTAGTTAGTAAACAAAGAACAACTCAAACATATCAGTAAATTTGTCTATTTGTTGAAATATTGGCAGTCACCCAAACTTTTTTGGGGGGGCCAGTGACTACTTGACTTTGTGCAATTTTCGGTCGCCCGAGCTAGACATTGGTCGCCTGTGGCGTGTGGGCGACCTATCATTTCAGGCACTGCATACCTTGTTGTTGCTGTTGAGCAGAGTGAGCACGTCGCCCTTCTTCATGGAGACCTCGCGCGGGCTCTTCTCCGTGTAGTCGTAGAGCGCGACGACGCACTCCTTGCCTGTCTCGTCGATGACGGGCGCCTCCTTGCAGGCCTGCGCCTGCTCACGCAGCGCATCGATGCTGCTGCTGAACGCTTCCAGGTCCGACATGAGCGCCTCGTGCTTCTTCAGCAGCGCCTGCTCGAGACGGAAACACGTACGTTATCAACCGGTGGTCGACGCGCTCGCAGTTAATGCGCACGTTTGCGCATTCGATTGGCACGTGTGTGTAACTATTGCGCATATCTGGGCAATTAGTCTACATAATATTGTATGTATTGTTGTTGTATGTTTGTAGTTGTTGTGTGTATGTTGTTGTTGTGTGTACGTTTTTGTTGAATGTATTGTTGTTGATTGTATGTATGTGTACGTGGGTGTGTATTTAATCCACATATGTATGCAATTCATCCACACATCAGCAGTCAGTCCACATACCAGCAGTCAATTCACTTATCAGCATATCAGTAAATCCATGTATATGCATAATAAACCCACAAATGCACAATCAATTGGTTAGCTGGGAATCATCATTACCATTTCTGCTAATAAACCTACACTACTAGGATAATAAATGTGCATCACGCATGGCATCTAACAGAACTAGGACAATAAAATCTAGGTGCCACTGAGGAATCAAAATTGATCCGAGAAATCTGTTGAATCCCTTCTTACAATTGACCGCTTACACTACAATCTGATATTGTAAACTCAATTCCATCTGTTAGGTAGGGTTATTTACCCATTTTTCCACTGCCCTAGGGAAAAATGATACTCTCAGGTAGAAACCAAACATACATAACATGAATTTTTACGAAATGGAACTGTAACCAGCCGGTATAACAGCAAGTGAAAGTGCTCCACTAGCTGCCTAGTATAATAAACTGGTAATTTACTTTGGCGCTCATAAAAATTGGACCAGTTAACTGACAGAATAACTGACACAGAGTGTTAGATCGCCACTTTACATTAAACAGACCATTTCTGTATTTATTCTACTCATGATTAAATA